CTGGAGCCGGAGCGGGAGCTGTCGCCGCCATTTTGCAAGAGAGGGGTAGGGGGCGTCCGCGCTGGCAATAATTGGCTGATCTGAACGCCTGTCACGCAGCGCTACCTTCCTATTGGGGAAAGGCGTGTGCTAAGGCCCTCCTGCCATGTGTTAGCCAATCTGGGGAGAGCGATGAGGGAAGACGCTCTGATTGGAGGAAGAGCACACCGTCTGTGACTGAAGCTTACTCTTGTTCCCACCCTCTCGGGGCCGAAGAGTTTTTCGATTGGGTTCTCGCGTCTCCCGCCTGCGTGCCTATCTGCTCTCTCATTGGCTGCCACCGCCCTTACCGTCTGTCTGTCAGGGTAGGAAGGCCTATTTATTGGCTGTGGCGGGACGGCTTCCCTTACTGGTTGTTAGGGGAAGACAGAGTGTGCGCTTGCCTGCGCAGCGCCGAGCGCTCGCCCGGCCGGTCTGGCAGCGGGGAGCCCTGGCGGTGCCTGGGTCCCAGGGCCCTGCTGGAGGTAGGCTGAGCAGGGCAGCGTGTCCCAGACCTCCCCGTGGCCTTCCGGGCCCCGCCACCTCAGTGGCCTCAGGGGTGTTGCCGGACCCCTGGGCTGCCTCCGCTGGCTGCGTTTCCCTGGTGCGTTCCCGGTCGCGCTTCAGGCCCGTGCTGCCGTCAGCTGCGGGCGGCCGCTGAGGCGTTGGGGCGGTGGCAGTAGCAGTGCGGGCCTGGTCATGGTGGCAGGGCCGCTGCTGCTGCCTCGTCCTGCCTGCAGTGAGGGTAGAAGCAGTAGCGCTTCTGCTGCTGCCTTACAGCTGTATGGGGATGTGGAAAACACAGCAGCCTGCAGGCACAGCACCAAGCTGCCCCCACAGTGAAGAAGGTTATCCGGTAGTGCTGTATTTGAGGGCTATATAGCCCTTAGGAGATTGGCCCTGTTTTCCAGGTATTTGTTGCCAATGAGGCACAGAAGAGTAAGTGGTTGGCAAGTATCAGGTAGAGAGCAAATGCTGGTTACCTCTGTCCAAGGTTTAATAGTTACCCAACAAATTGACTTACTGCATATAATTAGCCTGTTCCTTGTGGTGCCTCACATGTTTGCTCTCAAGCAACAAACCTGTATGGTTGGGGCAGGTATGGTTGTAAAATGAAGCAGGTATGCTGTTGGTAACTGGTGAGGAAAATGGATTCTTTCACAGCTTCCTTTTCCCTTTCTTGGCCATACGCTTGCAGCTGTTACGTTAACAGTTGTAGCAACATAGTAACAGATTTACCTCTAAGTCTCTTAGTTCAAAACCTTTTATCATAGTTTTTAATATTAGTTTGACAAACTTTAAGGGATAACTTCAAGTATCATTGAAATGTTTGGGTTTTTTGGTCTCAAGCTGTCTTTTCCACAAGTAAACTGTATGTCTGTGTATACACATATATAAACACTGAAAGATCAGAAGTCTTGCCTCCTGATAAAATGCTTAGTCCAGTGGAACTATGCCTGTCAAAAACTGCATCAGTTCTCTGGCACCACTTTGTCTATCGGGTGGCTGTTTGAATAATTGAGAACATTTCCAGGTAGCTGTTTCCCAGGTGTAGCAGAGAGAAAAGTGCAGTGGTGGTTACTACCTCAGGTGCAATCATCTTTACTCTTTTATAGATCTGCTTTGGGCTCCTGACACTCTTTTCCATATTTGGGTTACCAGTAATTTTAACATAAAAATAATTTTATCATGACTGGTGGCTGTTGGAGTTTTCTCTCCTTCATTAGCTGAGGGTGAGCATCATCAGTTGATGAGCAGTTTCAACTCTGTCATTGAAGGCAGGCTCCTGAGTATAAAAGGAGCAGCTCAATAAAAAGGTAACACATTCTGCCCATGTGCTAGCAATTTGGTTCTCTTACATAAATGGGGAACACCTGTCAAAGCTACAAAGGAGAGCTAATGCATGGGAACATGAACAGATTTTCTCTCTTCATAAAAGCACTTCCTCGTCCGTGTACCAGTAAAAACTGGATCTCCTATTCTTAGGAGCAGCCTTCATTTCTTATAGGTGTGCCTGGGTCAAATTGCATAAAGCTTTAAAATGTTTCTGTTCCTGGAGCTTTGATGTGTCATTGACAACTCTAATGTGTGAAGCGTTCTTGTTAGAGAGCAGCTGTTTGATCTCATTCTTGTTTGCATCAAACTACCCTTGGTGCTTAATTTCACTTAGCTGCAGATTCAGGTGAAGCAAGCAAGGCTCTTTAAGATGTGCCCATTATACTTCTATGTTGCCACCTTAAAAATCAGGCAGCTTAATATGGAGCTGCAGTTGTGTAAAAAACTGGGAACTGTGATAACCTTCTTTTAATATGTTGACGTCAAGCTGCTGGACAGAATGCCAGAGAGTGTATGTAGCGAGTAAAGATGGACAGCCTATATCTCAAAAGTCAAAGATCAGTGGTTGGCTCACACAAAGCCCACTTAATACAAAGACTGTATAAATCTAATGATAAGAAAAATCAATCATGTGATAGTGCTTGGAGCAGATGTGTCCAAGCTACAAAACTGTTGTTCATTGCTGAATGACTACTGAAAAGCAGAGACCTTCACAATTAATACTGTTTCACAAAGTATCAGTTTACTTTTAGAGGAGGGTAGTTACCAGTGACATATATTAATGGCGCCTGTTGTTGAAAACTTAGCGTCCATCTAGTGAGATGATTACAGTAAAATTTTTCTGCCTAGAGGAGAAACAGAAGACGCATTTGCACATGAATGTGGATCAGCGTGGTAACTCAGGGCCTTCTGATTTTACATTTTTCCTTGCTAGGTTTCCCTGCATCTGACTTTGGTGGTGAATATAATGAACCTCCTAGCTCTGCTCTTGTATGAGTTCTCTTTATAGTCCTTATGTGTGACTGAGCCATTATTATTGCATTTGCTGTCATGTCAGCTGCATTTTCACAGATGATGTATAATTTCTTTATCAGTAGCTATCTTCTCATTTTGCTTGTATTACTGGAAGTAACATGATCTCTTGCTCTAAGGAAAAATATTTCTTACGTTGCATTACAGGTAAAATAAAATATTTACAATTTATTTGATTCATCATCTCAGGATGTAGTTTTATCTGGTTGGTTTCATGGGACTGAATACGACATTTTTATTCCACTATTGTAAGAATAATTTTCTATTGTGCATTCTGCTTAAGAAGTTAGTAGAGTCTTTCAGTGATTTCTGCCAAGAGAAAAATCCGTTACTGAACTTAACTTTTACATAATCATGCTTATTTAGGAAAAAATTAGTATCAGGTCTCATTTTCCAAATAACTTTGAGATCAAAGGACAGAAGTCCATTTCCCTGCCTGGAATTTCACATGTGTGTCTCCAGCCTTCATTGTGCTCACAGAGCTCCCTCTTCACCTTCTCTCACAGTTGAGTTACCAGCACTTTTGTTGCCTACTGGTTATCTGTGTTTTTCAGGATCCATGTGTTCTGCCTTCTCTCCAGGACTTTTATATGATGTAGTCATCGGCAATGATTTCAGGTTTTGGTTTGTTTTTTGTTTCTTTTTTTTTTCCTATTAAAAAAAGTAATAGTTCCTTTATTTAGTCTTAATGGGGTGTCTTGGATACTCATCCGATTCGTATGCATTTGGGAATGCCAGCAGATGACGGAGTTGTTGGTAGCAGCCATTTCCCAGTGTAATGTGTCAGCTGATTCAGCTTCATATTAGCAAGAGGGATTCAAGCCCTTCCCTGCTTTTGTGTAATGTTTTATGGGGTTACCTTAATTATCAGAGAAATAACACTGACGCATGGGACTACTGAGGTAATGCCTAGAGTGAAAATCCAAATACTACCTACAAATAATGAGGCGTAGTGTTAATTGCATACCACACTGATACAAGAATATACCTTCTCTAAAGTTAGAGTGGCCAGGGAAGTTATCATCAGGTGTTCAAAAACCAGCACATTGGGGACTGCCATGTGCTTTTTAGTCACTATGTGGAAATATAGGAATCCAAGCTAAAGTAAAAGTAATTTCACAGAATTGCTTGTAGTGAGAAGTAGCAGAAAGAAATGTACACAGGCTGGCATACTTAGGGCAACAGATCTTTTCATGGTCAGAGTATTACACTCATTGAAGAAGGGAAAATAGAGACACATACTGAACAAAGGATGGCTGTGGAAATAAAAAAATACCCCCAAACCTTAGCCAACCCCAAACGGTACAAACTAATTGGCTCAGACAAGTGTTGAAAATTTCAAATTGTCAAAATATGTCCCAAGACAATTTATTTAGCTGTTCATGATTCTTGTATGTACCAGTTCCGTTGCTTCTGATGACCAGTGAGAGATCTGTCAAAGAAGAGAGAAGGTGAACTACATTTAAAAGCCACGGTAAAAGGCATTTTGATCTAAAAGACAGATTTCTGTTATTGCAGTACTGTAGTCCCTCAGCCTTCAGTGGGAATGTATCAGTAATAACTTGGAACAGGCTTCTCCTGAAGAGACGGTGGGTTTTGGTGCCTTTTTTTTTAATTTAGTCCATACTGTTGGGATCAATGGCTAACTGCTTTTATTCCAAATGCTGATAGGATGTTCCGAAAGTGTCTTCTGTTGTCTCATACCGTGCCTCTCCCCAGGTGTGTACAATCATCTGTTCACCCTGTTTTCCCAGATGAGTTTGACTGGAAATGCTAGCCCTAATATTTTATATAAAAGCATTTTATCATGAAGATGCGTATGACATTTGTATATAGAAAACAGTGAGTAAACTTATAAAAGCCCTTATGAAATTTATCCTGTGAGCATACACCCTTGGCTGGATTATTTTTGGAAAAGTTTGTTTCAGCTGTTCTCAGGGCCAGGTCAAGATCATATAATTCTTTGATTATTAAATGAAGGTGTGTATAAAGGTAGTCCTGCATCCACTGTTACCCCTTTCTCTGTACTAGCCACAGGATATTCAAACACCCACGGGAGGACTAAGGCTGTTCAAACGATAATGGAAAAGCTTACGAGGCGTAATCCCTGTGCAGGCATTGCTGCATCGTACAACTGCCATGCCGCAATTTGGTGGGGAAAATCAGAAATATGGAATAGTGACGCTCCAGCTTACGTGTGCATATTGCAAACATTTGTATAAAGAGAGATGTTGCTAGATGTTACTAGAGCAGGCCAATTTTTTTGGCAGATCATCAGGAATGCTTCAGATGCACGGATAGAGACATGAGAAAAAGAATCTTACCTGAAGCGTACTATTGCCTCGGTTTTGGTTTTGAAAATCTAAGAAAAACGCAAGGAAATAAAAGGATGAAATGAGAATAATGTATGATGTGGGACATGGAGAAAAAGAAACCGGCTAACTAGAAATAGGCACGTTTGGGCAATGTGAAACTCCTTGACATGTGAGATTTATGGGCAATGAATGATCGGAGATCTTGTGGCGGCTCCCAGAAGGCAGACCTGCAGTAAGTGCCTGAGAGACGGTCTGCTTTTCTTTCCAGCAAGACCGATTGATCTAATAAAAGCGGCCCTGCCTCTCCTGCCGGACGGCAGAAAGGTAATTCGTCCAGGCGTTTTGCGAAAGGCCCTGTGCTGGCCCTGGATGCGGCAGTCTCTGGCTGGCTCCGCGTTTGCAGCCCGAGAACCCGCCGTGCTGGGGTTTCCAGGCCTCATCCGGCGCGCGCAGCGGCGCTGCCTCGTGCCGGGCCGTTGCGGCCCGCCCCCTCCCCGTGGCCGGGAACCGTTGCCCTGAGACGAGTCCCGTCCCTCATTGGATTTACTGATTATTGCCGAGAGATGCAGTTTTCTTTTCCTCTGATACTAAAGCAATTAGATAGTCATGAATGCCAACCACATCCTTTGTAATCACTTGGTGCTAATTAATTAGTGACTTAACTCTGCCTGGTTTGAAGTGGGAATTTGTGCATAGTACTTTTTCCACCAATATTTATTGTACGTATTTGATTTGCCAGTTCCTTTCTTCAGTTAATAGAATTACGGTAGACTCAATGAGGTGGAATTCATTAATTTTACCTTAATTCTACCTTAATTCTTCTGTGCCATTTCACATAAGAATGTCACAGAGAGATTTACTTATGGACATTTTGGTGGTGCAATCAACCCCATATGATGTGCTGTACAACCCCAAATTTTACTGAAATATATGGTAATGAAAGGTATTTTGGGTATTTGATGAAAGGACAAACTCTCTAACCTCTCAGGACAT